TAAAACAAAACTATTAAATAAGCGATATAAACAAATTTTTACTACGTTAATAAAACACTGATTAAAATAAAAATAAAAAAATAAATATATAAGGTAAGAAATAAAAATAAAAAAATAAAAATAAATAAAAACTTGCAAAATAATCCAAATAAATAAATAAGTAAACAAATAAACGACTTTCGGCAGAACAACCGCCAAAATAGACTACCCACAATGCACCGCTGACCCGTATATATAAATCGCCGAGAAAAAGAAAACAACACTCGTGGCTTGACGATTGCGTCTAGCATGACACAGCCTGTCGCCTTTAAGTGTTGCCTTCAATGTTCACTTATATATATATATATATATATATATATATATATATATAGTGCTGTGCAAAAGTAAGTGAACCCTTAAGATAATATTTTTAAAAAATATCTCTTTTTTTCCAGATGAGCAAAAAATCTAGGCAGGAAGTTCCTGGCTCGCTAGGATTTTTTTATATTCTGTTCTACTTAGCGTATTGAACACTTTACTTTTATTCATTATTTACTTGGTTGGGTGTTTTCTTTTTTTGGGGGGGGACTTAGAAATTAAGTCACTGGACGATTTTTCAGACCTACTCAGATGTTTTTATTCCTTTTTTTTTTAATTTTTCCGCAGGTACCTATTTGTTTAATAGTTTTTGTTTGTTTGTTTCTTTCTTGTTTTTACACCAACTGAGTATAGTCTGTCTAGTTTTCTAATATCTCGAACAGACCATACCGTAAACCGACATTCACCGGACAGTACCTCAATTTCAACTCCCACCATCCATACAGCGTGAAGAAAGGGATCGTTCGTTGCTTTCAACACCTAGCAAAAGTCATAAGTGGAGACACAGAGACGTTAGATAAAGAATTGGTCAGTATAAGTAGTACCCTACAACGTAACAACTACCCTGGGTACATGGCAGCAACCCCCAAAAACTGGGATAGGCGGGTACAAGAGGAGGAGGACAACAACACTCAGAAAACAATCTGTCTGCTTTATGTGAAGGGGTTATCAGAGAAAATACAAAGGATCTGCGGTCCATATAACATCAGGACAACCTTCAAAAGCGTGACAACACTTCACAGATATCTCCCCCGAGTAAACCCCCCCATAGAGAGGAACATGACTAAAGACTGTGTGTACGTCATCCCGTGCAGCTGCGGAAAGGAATATAAAGGAGAGACAGGCCGCCCCCTCAAGGTAAGGCTTCAAGAACACCAGAAAGCTGTAACATGAGGGGAGGTAGAAAAATCAAGCGTGGCTGACCACATATGAAGAGGGAAGGGGGATCAGCACCCTCTGTCGGATCAGGTTGAGATTATTGACAAGGAACACCATTGGAAAATTCGTAAACTTAAGGAATCAGCACATATGCTAGGCCACAGAAAAATCTCCTGAGCCGACCAAGCATAGAAATGAATACAATATGGGAACCAGTAATAAGGAGAGAAAAGCCATGATAAAACAGAGTTGCAATGATAACAACAGAAAAATTGCAATATGAGCCCTGGTAAAAACATGTAATGATAACAGCAAAAATTGCAATATGAGCACTGGTAAAAATGGTTGCTGAAGACATTAGGTTTATCATACCCAGAAATTCATACCCAGATGGCACAGTGGATAAAGGCGTTAGTTAGATCCAGTGACAGGACCCAAAGTGTGTGAGTTCAATACCTGGTTAAGGCAGTGGAGAACTTTCAGAGGTAAAATTAACAGGAGATAACTGATAACTGACATCCATCAAACATGGCACGTGGAACTAGAACAGTCTACCCCGGTGAGCGAAATAAAGGGTTCAGTTCGACATTCCAACCACCTGAAGAAGGCCGGAGCGTACAATGGCCGAAACATTGTGATAAATATGGCGACAAAGATGAGGACAATAGTCCGAGTAATGTAAATAATGCAACCGAGTATAGTTATTAAGTGTCTGCTATTCTTCGGCATCCTAAGGTCAATTAATTATCCAATTTGTCATACAAAATTTACTTTTGATTCGGATAATATTATGCATCCTACACACACACACACACACACACACACACACACACACACACACACACACATATATATATATATATATATATATATATAAAGAGAGAGAGAGAGAGAGAGAGAAGAGAGATGAATAAAGACAAAAGGATATCTTATGCGATTTGTTCTCTGCTGGCCTTTATCAAGGCAAATGTAAGGATTTTATTTTACAAGAATTATTTATAAACAAAAGATATCATTAATTTATCAAAATTTAAGAATGCTCAGAAATATACATCAGACTAAATGAAAGTCAAAGTAAATTATGGAGGATTCTGAGTGATGTAATATATATATATATATATATATATATATATATATATATATATATATATATATATATATATATATTATAATGGTACTAATATTATTAATGTGATATCAGTAGCCGCTCCTCAGAATATTCATCTGTTTATACCAACAAACATTATATCCTCGATCCTGAGAACATTTCCCGATAATTATGTTAAATTTTAACCGATATATATATATATATATATATATATATATATATATATATATATATAGAGAGAGAGAGAGAGAGAGAAACTACTTCCAAAATCAAAGATCTGCGTATGTATAGACACACATAAAGACACACTCTCATGCATATATATATATATATATATATATATATATATAACATCAACTATGAATACGGTCATAAGGTACTGACGGTTTTTGGGAAAATAACACATTCATGCAACTCAAGATACATACATAAAAAAAACCGTACATTAAGTTTAAAATAAAAATAAAATAATCCTTGATAATTGCTAAAAGAATAGCCAAAAGTGCCCGGACATAAAAAACATTCGGACAATTTCTACATAATTTATGTCCAGAAAAGAAGAAAATTATAAGAACACGAAAAAAAATTAACTAAAGAAGGTTAACCGCATAAACTTGTCAGTAGTTTTTAACGAAATTTGTACACACACACACACACTATCTATCTATCTATCTATATATATATATATATATATATATATATATATATATATATATATATATATATATATATATATATATATATATATATATATATATATATATATATATATATGTGTGTGTGTGTGTGTGTGTCAGAGAGAGAGAGAGAGTATGCAGAAAATGTAGTTCTTCCTGGATTTGATTTATTACCAGGTTTGTTATGTTTTGAGCATACATCTTTTCTTTTGCTCCTGTCCGTAATTTTTGTCTTCCTTTCCCCTGTGGACTTCTCGTTCTTTAGATTCTTTCCTGTCTATTAACGCTAGCAACGCTTCAACTCCAACCTCGAGACCAGCTATTCCCGATACGCAAATTTTCTTTCATTCCCCCCACACACACACACCGAAATTTCCAACTAAATTGGCTCCTGGTTCTGTGTAAACTCATCTCACTGATCTACCTATCTCGCTCTCCCCCCTCTCTCTCTCTCTCTCTCTCTCTCTCTCTTTTTATCTATATATATATATATATATATATATATATATATATATATATATATATATAAAAAGAAAGAACAGTAAGATATAAAATCCGGTGTTCTTATAGATATTTTTATTTTTACAAAATAGTGCTCAATGTAAATTTACAGAGCATTAATATTATAAATTAATTGATTTAAAATATGTTTTTTTTTTCGCTACAATGGATTCTAATACATTTAACTGTTCTTAAAAAGAATTTAGTAAAATAAAAATTAAAAAGGAGAATATTTCAAATCGTAGTTAAATAAAAAGTATTAGGAAAAAAAAACCCCGAAAATCTGTAAATTTAAAAAATAACGTTGAAATTTTTTTACCGTTAACAATTTTTAAAAAAAAAAATTCAGACGACATCCATTCAACTGATGTCAGGTTTCATTGTAAAATACATTCCTACCCCTTTCCAAATTGTAGCTAATAACTGATACAATGATACTGACATAAGGAAAATCTAGACATCCCTTGTTCAATTTAAGTAGAATATTCTGTAACCATGGAAACGTGATTTTAGCTGTGTCTTTAAAACCCGGTAATTTTTTAAAAGTTACTCCAAAATTCGCTTGAAGATGAAATGGAACTAATGCTTTTAATTTAATTGCAAAATTAAATTCGGGGTTCTTAACTTCTATTTTTGAAACATGGTTGGAACTGTGTAGCGAAAAAAAACATATTTTAAATCAATTAATATATATATATATATATATATATATATATATATATATATATATATATATATATATATATATATATATATATATATATATATATATATGCCGAGTAACAGCAAAATTGTCCAATTGTTAGATGAAGTTTTGAACCGTTTTATCTTAGAAATGATTAAAGATATCGTATTGGAATTTTCTGAGCTTTTTATAACATCATGGGACTCTACTTTGAGCAATAACAATGTATAATTACTCTACAAGCTTAACAGAAGAATCGTGATGAAATCGATCATTAGCGAAAATGACATGTTTATTATTAATTAATCATTGCTAAGGATCGGAAGCTCACGAAAGATTGAAATAAAGTTCAAACACACACATATATATATATATATATATATATATATATATATATATATATATATATATATATATATATGAGAAATATAGTCTTAAGATAGGTATATTTACGGGATAAAGTGCTCACTATAAGAGATAAGCGTGTGTAAATAAAAAAGTGAACATAGAAGTCAACAAAGGCGACAGTCTGTTTCATACTAGATGCAATCGTCAGGCCATAACGATTGCATCTAGCATGAAACAGACTATCGCCTCTAATTGTTGACTTCTGTGTTCACTTTTTATATATATATATATATATATATATATATATATATATATATATATATATATATATATAATCCTAGGATCATTTTCAAACTTATTCAAGATGATCTTCACCCTCTCTGTAACTTTCTGTCCTGGAGTAACAAAGTGCCTCACAGGTTTCACGTACAATTTCATTTTAAAGTTTTTTTTTTCTTTTTTACTGTTCTCTGGACTGTCATATCTAAAACTCCTCTCTCACGTGCCAAACGTTCATATCTATCTATCTATCTATCTATCTATCTATCTATCTATCTATCTATCTATCTATCTCATTCTGTTCATATCTATCTATCTATCTATCTATCTATCTATCTATCTATCTATCTATCTCAGTCTATTTATATCTATCTATCTATCTATCTATCTATCTATCTATCTATCTATCTCAGTCTGTCCAAATCTATGTGTTAAATATTTTACGAATTTTGAAAAAGAATGTTTCTCTCTAAGAATGTGCTGCAACTTTTCTGGGTGGTCTCCTTGTTCAATTTCGTGAATGTTGATATAATCTTTGCCTTCAGTTCATCGTTGGCCTTACAAAGAGTTTTGTTGGATTCTCGTTCAACTGCAACCCACACATGATAATCAAGGGAGTTACAGTCTGCAGGGTTAAGTGGCCAGATGCAATGTGTGATGCGGTCGCAGAAATTGTCTGACAGCCATGACTCGGTTCTTTTGCTTGTGTGACATGCTGTAGAGTCATATTGCCAGACATAGGTTTTTCCAGCCGCCACCCTCTTGATCCAGGACAGCAGTTCCTCCTCAAGGCACTTGATGTAGGCCTCCATGTTGAGTCTGACGCCTTTACCAACAAATTCTGGATTTCTTTTCTCATCAGAACGATCAGAGGGACTTTTCAAAGCTGCTGTATCTTCGTAATCACCGTTAGACTCATCCAAATTTTTCTGAATCCTCTGCTCTGTCCTCAGATTGTGTTGTAGAGTAGTTTCACAGTGGAGGCTTGTATTTGTCGGTCCTAAAATAGGTTCGACGTACAAAACGTTAGGTACTTGATATAATAGGTAATGACGCAGAGTAATCTAGTTGTGGTCGCTGATACTTTAGTATCCGACTAACGGTCGTCCGGCATCGACTGACTGACCGACTCACTCCTTACTATTACTCCTCGTACTTATTATAGTTGGGAGAGTCTATTAACTAAAGAATACGTGTGTTCCACTATAACAGATTGGCATCCAAACACTCTGTATTTTTATATTGGAGCTTCTAGTGCGAATGCCAAGCCGCACAGCATGCCGTTTCTAAAAATTCTGCCGGGGTGCATTGCGTCATGTTGCTTTTTCTCTCACAGACGGTGCCCAACTGACTCTACAATACTGTACAGTCGACAAAATTAAAAAAAACAACCAGCGCGCATGCGCGAAATTGCAAATATAAAATAGCGGCAATTTGTCCATCGCAGCCTGTTCTCCTGACCCAAATCTTAAGTCTAATGAAAATAAAGACAAAAATATACCTTTTGCGTTATTAGACTCAACCACTTATTTGAGTAGGGCTTCATAAAATGAATATAAAAAAAATTAAAATTAAAATCTTTTACCATTCAATAGGGAAAATTTGAACAATGGAAAATTACGCTATTATCAGGTCAAACGTTTAAGATTATATCTAAAATAAGTCCTAAACAGTAAAGGAAATCCCTAAAAAGACGTCTCGGTAGTGAGTTGCCCGGCCGTCATGGTGAATAACTCCAAAAATTTACTTTGGCATTGTCGATATAAACGTTTGCAGAATGCTGGTTGGAATGTTATTCCAAGTTGTGAAAAAGTTCTTTGTTCTGCGGGCATTATGGATTGCAGCGTTGTTCCGCTGAAAGAACCAGACATTTCCACACAAGCGACGGCTTTCAGTCACTAAGGATGCTCTCGTCAACATGCCAATGTAAGCAGCCGCGGTCTGATGCCCATGTATAACCTGAATTCCATTGTTTCTTGGAAGGAAATAGCGCCCCATATCATGATGGAACCTTCTCTACTGTGTCGTGTATGAAAAGTTTCAAATGGGATATCCTTATCGTGCTAATAGCGTTGGAAGCCATCTGGACCATTCAGGTTTTCTTTTTCTCCTCAGGGAACAAAATCTTCTCCCACTTTTCTATGTCCCATGTTTGATGCTTCTCAGCAAAGTTTAATCGAGTTGTTTTGTGGTGTAGAAAGAGGCCAGACGTTGAAGACTTTTACGGTTCTGAAAGTTTTTCTCTCGAAGAAGTCCTCTTGTTGTTCTTTAGTAATGGTCGATGTAAGCATCTGCAGAAAACTGACTAGAATGTTCTTCCAAGTGGCGTGGATGGCTTCACGGAGATCATACACTGTTTGAAATTGACGTCAATTTCTATAGACTTTCCTTGCCAAACAAACCCAAACATTTTCAATGGGTTTCAGAACAGGTGAACAAGCTGGATAATTCAAAAGAATAATGTTATTCTCCATTAAAAAGTTTTTTGTCTTGTGAGCATTATGGATTGCAGCGTTGTCCTGTTGAAAGATTCAGTCATTTCGACACAAGCGAGGACCTTCAGTCAATAAAGATACTCCCTGCAGCATGCCAATGTAACCCAGTCACGGTTTAACGCCCTTGTATAAGATGAAGCTTCATTGTACTTTGGAAGGAGATAGCACCCCAAATCATGATGGAACCTTCTCCACTGTGTCGTGTAGAAAAGGTTTCAGGCATCATGCTAATAACGTTGGAAGCCATCTGGACCATCCAGGTTAATTTTTTTTTTTCTCCTCAAAGAACAAAATCTTCTTCCAGTTTTCTATGTCCCATGTTTGACGCTTCTCAGCAAAGTTTAATCGAGTTGTTTTGTGGTGTGGAAAGAGGCGTGGACGTTGAAGACATTTACTGGAAAATTAGGCTAAATATTATCTGGTAAAAGTTTGAGTCCATACTTAAAAGAAGTTGTAAACAGAGTAGGAAATGCCCAACATGATGTCTCAGTAGCGATGAGCACAGCCGTCATTGTAAATAACTTATAAAAATTCGTTTTGGCATGGTCGATGTAAGCATCTGTAGAAGGCTGACTAGAATGTTATTCCATGTGGTGAGGATGGCTTCACGAAGGACATACACTGTTTGAAATTGACGTCCATTTCTATAGACTTTCTTTGCCATCCACCCACAAATATTTTCAATGGGTTTCAGGTCAGGTGAAAAAGTCGTTTGTTCTGAGGGCATTATGGATTGCAGAGTTGTCCTGCTAAAAGATTCAATCATTTCGACACAAGCGAGGACCTTCAGTCAATAAAGATACTCCCTGCAGCATTCCAATGTAACCCAGCAACGGTTTGGCGCCCTTGTATAAGATGAAGCTTATCGTACCGTGGAAAGAGATAGCACCCCAAATCATGATGGAACATCCTCCACTGTGTCGTGTAGAAAAAGTTTCAAGTGGGATGTTCTTATCGTACAAAGTAACGTTGGAAGCCATTTTGAATCATCCAGATTAAATTTGTCCTCATCAGAGAACAAAACCTTTTTCCACGTTTTCTATATCCAGTCTTTAACGTTTCTCAGAAAAGTTTAACCGAGCTGTCTTGTAGTGTGAAAGGAGCCACGGTCTATGAAGACCTTTACGGTTGTTAAAGATTTTCTCTCAGGGATAAGCTCTTATTATTCCTGAATCGCATTCTCCGTTCGTAAGAGCCTTAATCTGGTTCGATGATCGGCTGGTGTCTTACCGGACAATCCGTTGTATCCTCCTGATAAACGCCAACGAAATTTTCTTGGGCTGATCTCTTGAAATTATCGATCCGTATTTCTCACGGTCTTTTAAGCAATTTGTAACAGCAGTTTTACTACGTCTCTTCCTACTAACGATGCTACGGCGCGAGAGACCTTGCTTCTGCCTTAATCTGGTTCGATTATCGGCTGGTGTCTTGCCAGACAACCCGTTGAATCCTCCCGTTAAACGAAATTTTCTTGGTCTGATCACTCGAAATTATTGTTCTGTATTGCTCAAAGTCTTTTAAGAAGTTTTTAACAGCAGTTTTACTATGTCTAATCTCACAAACGATGCCAAGTTGAGAGAGACCTTGCTTCTGGAGGTCGACAATTCTGCTACGTTCAAACATAGTCAACATTGTAGCCGTTTCCATGTTTTTTGTTTTACTGAATGTAACACAGGAGATACCAGTCTGAAATTTTGACTGCGCTAATGCTTGAATACAAATGACTAAATTTCATTACTTGTTCCCCAATCAAAGCTTCGTTTAAATATGGTCTTAATCGTTTGACTAGCTAGTATTTAGCCTAATTTTCCATTATACAAATTTTCCCTATTAACATTTTGAGGCCTGACCATCGCTTTACCGGTGGTAGAAAAAAATGACGTAATGCCCAGCCATTGGTTGAACGGTGGGTAAACACTTATAACTATTTTTATATCTACGGTGAAAACAATTATTTGCGAATTTTGACCCAGGAACTCAAGAAGAAGGGTTAAAATTGTTCAGAAACGCAGGGTTTCAAGGTTTAAATGCTAAAAAATTTTAAATTTTAATATTTCTTTTTCTTATTTACATTTCTTCGAAATTCTACAACGAAAAGGTTTTTCTTTTTCTTTATTTTCATTGGCCTTAAGATTTTGATCAGCATTGTGCGTGTGTGTAAGAGAGAGAGAGAGAGAGAGAGAGAGAGAGAGAGAGAGCGAGGATATGTAACAAAAATGGTAAGTTTAATTACTTTTGATATAATAATTACAATTGGAGAACATTTTATTGGCAGGAAATTCTGTTCGCTATAAAATATGCTGAATCATTCCATTTTAATTAGAAATCAATTTTACAATTAAGTCTCCTGACGCATTGATGTAAAATTCGGGAAACTCTACGTAAAGACAAGATAAGTTAGCATTAGCATTTAATTTTATTTATTACTACTGATGCTCTATTTCGTGATACTGACCATTATAATTATAAATACTAATTGGCTTATATATATATATATATATATATATATATATATATATATATATATATGAAATGGGCGAAGACCGACAATTATTTTAAGACATATATTATCTATAAAAAGAATGTATAAACACAAAAAAAATGTCTTAAAATAATTGTCGGACTTTGTCCACTTCATAATGTGTGACGTCATTTGTTTACATTTTTGATACGCATCGATCACACATAAATGTACGAGGGAAAATCATGGAGAATTGTATTTTAAAAACAGTAAAATCGACCTTGATAACCGAAACGCTCCTCTGTGGCGAAATTGGTAAAAGCACGTCAGGCTAAATGACCGTTCCGTGTAGGATACACGTTCGATTCCTGTCGGAGGACGCATATTTTCTATGAAAATTTCTTGGACATTCAGGTCGGTAAATGTCGTTAATCTGTTTATTATAAACAGAGCATTTACTTAAATATTTGTATTTATAA